TGGGCCTTTTAAACCTTCTCTTTCCTGCTTTTTATTGCTGAATATGTTTTACACTCCATGGTTTAAGTTGTGAAAAAAAAAACACATTGTCCTGTTTAAATAAAAATGAAATTCAAAAAATGTTCTGTCCTGTTTAAGTAAAAATGAGGTTTACAGTATACACATTTTCATCTTGTGTAAAGTAAAATTATTGAAATGCAAAGACATTACATTGACTTCTCTTATCAATCACTCAATGGGGGTGCGTAACTGTATACTAAGATAAAAACAGAACAGAACATATTCATCATAAATAGAAAGTAAAACCCAGCCCATTATAACCAAATACAGTGGCTGCACTGCTGAGACAACATCTTGAGTCTATACAAAAAGAGACATCTTGGACCTCAGGGACTGCCAACCACTGGAAGGTGAATCAAGACTCTGCTGTGCCAAAATGATTAATTTAATTTAAATTGATCATTTTAATTAATTATTTTTTTTACTGTTACATTTGGTTGACATTAATAGGAATGTTTGATATCATTAAAAGAAAAAGGGCATACATGAGATTATATATTAACAGAAAACAATATCCAGTATGTCCATGTAGTCCATGTATTTATTTAACAGAACCTAGCAGAAACCTTTCTGGCCTTGAAAAACAAAAAGTTGGACGTACTGGACTTACACGTAATGATATACTGCATCTTTAATGAAAATACTATGTTCATGCAAAAGAATAATTAATAGTGGAACACATTGTTTTCATAACTTACGTAAGTTTGACACCAAAAAATGTGTACCTTTTAACATGTTTTAACCGAAAAGTACAATCATGGGAGATGGTGAAATGGAGTGTTTCAGCTCGGCGGCCATTTACCTCTAGCAGCCAGAAATAGAGTTAATCGAGCTTCAGAACACCCCCTTTGATGCCAAATCAGCATTCTTCATGACAGATGCAGCTGATATGTACCTGAAAGGTTTAGTAATTAGTAAAGAGGGTGGCAAAGCTATTGTCAAAACTCCCAGTGGGAAAGTACAACAGATAACTATTAAATGAATAGTGTATAAATGTGTGTACAAAAAAAGTCAAAAACATGTTAATTACAGAGTGTTACAGTAAAATAAGATGAAATATTCCCAATGAATCCTCCCATTGTTTGACAGAATTGAGGACATGGCCAACCCTTATGACTACCCAATGATCAGCCAGGGTGAAATCACTGTCAAGAGTATCAATGACGTGGAAGAGTTCATTGCCACTGATGTATGTTGACAACTGCAATATTATTTTTAGTAACATTTTTGAGGTGGTACAAAAAGTACAGTCGATTTCACCTGAAGTGCAGAGTTTTATATTGAGCGATTTTAATCATGTGTCGCTGAAAAAGCACTTACACACTATTATTAATATGTTACCTGCCCAACCAGATGGAATAAAATACTAAATTTGTGTTATAGGTCAGTGATTGGGCTCGGCCAATCACAACTGAGTGTTTTTATTGCCTACATATAAGACTGTTTTAAGGAGATAGAGTACAAAAAAAGATGTAAAGGTTTGGACTGAAGATTCTGTGCTCTGTTTACAAGAGTGTTATGATTGCATGGACTGGACTATGCTTAAAGAAAGCTGGTACGTCGCTAACTCAGTTAGCTGGATTTGATTGTTGACGATTTGGCATGACCTTGGATTATTTGGTTCTTCGAAGCTCATCCTGGACTTGCTGTCATCGTAACAGGTCCGTAAACTTAAACCTGCTCGGGAGCAGGCTTATTTAATATAAACCAGATTAGATTGCATCTTTTTAAGTGGAATTGATATTTAAAGGGGTCAGATGATGCGATTTCAATGTTTCTCTCTCTTTGGAGTGTTACAAGCTCTTGGTGCATAAAGAAGATCTGTAAAGTTGCAAAGACTAAAGTCTCAAATCCAAAGAGATATTCTTTATAAAAGTTAAGACTTGTCCATACCCTCCTAAAACGACTCGTTCTAATGCCCCCACATGTCTATTTCACTATGTGGGAAGATTTGCATAACGCGCTGTAGTATTGTTGCTGCCGCCGCCATGCTGTGGAGACGCTGTGTGTTTCGTTGTGAAAGTGAAACTACTTTGTTTGGCCTTCCAAAAGAGGACGATATCTGCTTCGTCATGCCTGGAGCTGATCCGTGCTGATCGCTGAGGAAATACATCAACTTCACTGTGGATCGCCGGATCGGCTTTCACCGTGGACGAAGCGGAGTCCAGCCCGGGGTCGTCACATGTGGTTGCCGCAAGCCCGCCGGACGCCTCTCACTCTAGCTGCAGTGTGTGACGCTGTGTGACTTGTTGTTTGTCGTTTCTCCAATCACAAATGCAGACATGGTTTTATGTTTACGCAGCGCGATACGCTACGCAACGCGCAAAAACACAGTATAAGTCATTATAATCAGTAATTATGTCCCCACTGGATGCAACGAATGCCTCGTTTATAATGGCTTTTCATGTTTTTGTCTCGTCGCTCCGGCCGGACAGGGCATCATCACAGTATGGTGAGGGGCGTAACATTTCCGTCACATGCTTGAGGTATTCGGCCAATCACAACCCACTGGATAGCTGGCCAATCAGAGCACACCTCGCTTTTCAGAATGATGAGCTTTGTACAAATCGATGCGTTTCAGAAAGGCGGGGCATAGAGGAGAAACAATAATGTACAGTATGAGGAAAATAATGTGTTTTTTGGACCTTAAACCGCATAAACACATTGCATTACACCAAATACACAACATAATTTTTAGAAACGTCATATGACCCTTTTAAAATCTATCCCAGCCACTGATAATTTATTACAAGAGCACCCTACTAATCTATGGACAATCATTTAAATGATAATAATTAAAAAAATTATTTGAAAATAATATTATAATGTTCTATAATACTATATTAGTTCTACAATCTATAATACTATAGACACAGCCAGTTTTACTCATTGAAAGATTTATTTGTGATAAAATATTTACTTTATGATTGTATTCGAGTCTTACACACATGCTATAC